ACCTCCATACTGCTTTCCAAAGTGGTTGAACAAGTTTACACTCCCACCAACAATGCAGTAGGGTTCCCTTCTGGCCACATCCCCTCCAGCATCTGTTATTAGAGTTCTTGATTATAGCTGTCCTTACTGGAGTGAGGTGGAGTCTCAAAGTTGTTTTGATTTGCATGTCTTTTATGGCTAGAGAGGTTGAGCATTCTTCATGTGTCTATTGGCCATTCTTATTTCCTCTTCAGAGAAGTTTCTCTTTAAGTCTTTAGCCCACTGATTTATCGGGCAGTTGTTTCTTTGAGGATTTGTTGTTTTTTTAGATATTATATAATCTTTTTTAAGACCCTTGAAAGTTCAATTCCAGGCCCCTTAAGATCTGGTGTCTGTCCCCTGCCTCCCTCCCACCCCCCATTCTCTCCAAGTCACGGTAACCACAACTCTACACATGCCTAGTACTTTCTGTGTTTCAGTATTCTTCCGTCTGCTGTGCTTCTGGTTATAAGCTTCATAAGCTTCTGTCCACTCCATCACCAGTGGCACTTCATAAAAATTGTAAGTTGCATGAGTGGTAAAGTCCTCTTGATGTGGGGCTTAATTTTGTAGTTTCTTAAATGCATGTGAGAGTGCCACCTTCTTCTGTGTTGTTCTGCAGTTTACTTTTTGTGAAGAAGAATGAGGACTATTTGAATAGAAATTGTTGGGTAGCAAATTACATACATTTTAAATGATGTAGAAGAAAAGAAAACTGACTTTGGAGCTTGTTAAGGTGTTATTTCAGACATTAGCTCTTTATCTTTAGATAAGTGTCTCACTCCTTTAAGCTTTTGTTTCTTCAGCTGTGAAGTAGGGACAGTAAATTCCTTAGCTTTGACCAGAGTAGACTTCATAGTTTGCATCTACTTGACATAGTAGTTTCTCCTTATTTTTCTTTTTTTTGGTCAGTTGTAGGGCCTGAACTCTGGGTCTGGACACTGTCCCTCAGCTCTTCAGCTCAAGGCTAGTGCTCTACTACTTGAGCCACAGCACCACTTCTGGCTTTTTTGTTTATGTGGTGCTGAGGAATCGAACCCAGGGCCTCATGCATGCGAGGCAAGCACACTACCATTGAGCCACCTTCCCAGCCCAGTTTCTCCTTTTTCTAAATCAGTTTTTTCTCTTCTGTATATCAACAGAACCTCTGCCTCTGTTTTCATGTAGGGTCAGTAGAGGTGGGGAACAGAGCCTCTGTCTGTTCTCTAGTTCTTCAGTGATTCTTGTTTACTCAGTCTATTTTATGGTAGCAGCAAGAAAAAAATAGGCTTTGATAAAAATGAATCTCTACAACATTGCTAAGATCCAGTTGACTATCAAAGGTAATGGAGACCTTGTTATATTCAACCTATCAATCAGATTAGGAAACAGCTTTGCAGAAAACCCAAATTATTTTCCTAATGGTCTAATAAGGAAACCGGACATTTTTTGTTTTAATTATCAACTCAAGATGCACTTTCACCTCCTTTTGATTGAAACAGCTTTCTAGCTTCTAGAAGTCCTGAAACTTGTGTCAAATCTTCGAGACCCATTCTCATGAAGGCTGAGTACAAAACTTCTCTGTCTTCAATGCCAATCCAAAACACACCTTGAACACTTGGGCTCCCTTGTGCATTTTGGGGGACAGAGCCACTCCTCAGGATGCTTCTATAAACAGCACACATGGAAGCAGTCTCTTCTAACAGTGGAATGTATCTTTTTATTTTTTATTTGATTTTTTCATTGTTATTATAAAGGTGATGTACAAAGGGCTTATTATAGATAGGTAAGTCAGGTAAAGTGTAGTTCCCTCCCATCTCTACCCACAAGTTGTATAGTTCATTTTCTACATAGTGTCTAGTGAGTACCACTACTGCATTTGTTTACCCCTTGTCCCCCCATTTCTGTGTGGAATGTATCTTTGAAAAAGCAAAGAAGTGTGGGGGAAATTTTCTAGGTTGAGCTATGCACATGGATGATTTCCTTGGGAAAAGATGTAGTGATTGAAATATGTACTCCAAGATGTGAGTTTGCAAGTGATGTATATAAGCATTGTAGTGTTCTTAGCTGAATTTTAGTGGCTCGTGTTTATAATCCAAGACATTAAGGTCTGAGGACTGCAGATTGAAGCTAGCCCAGGCAGAAGAATCCATGAGACTCTTACCTGTGATTAACCACCAAAAGAAAAAAAGGCAGAAGTGGAGCTGTGGCACAAGTGATAGTGCACCACCCTTGAACAAAAAAGCTAAGGGATAATACTGAAGTCTTGAGTTTAAGCCCCAGTTTAGGCACAGAAAAAAATATATATATATAATTTTGGAATTTTATTAATCTTAACCTGGGATTCATTTTTTTTTTCTAGCACCTACATACTTTTGGAAATTGCTCTAAATTTCACTTTTCTCAGCTGATAAAATGAGGATGGCATCTGCTTTGGCTTTTGAATGATTAGATGAAATACCCATCCCAATTTGGGTCACCCATTTTGGGGCACCACCCATCCAATTTGGTGGGTGGTGACAAATAGTAGTCTTTGTTAGTCTCTGAGTTACTGAGGGCCTTGAATTCCATATTAATGATCAAATTATTCTGATACCTTAATTACACTCACTTCTGTGGTAAATGTACTATGTGAAGATGAAGTGTTTACTTTCATGAAACTGAAATGAAGTTGTCTTTTTGAGCCAAAAACATTTTGTACTGGAATATTGAAGAAAGGAAATTGACCCTCTGGTAGCAACCATGAGGATCCATTCCTTTATTTTTTTATTTTTGTCCGTCATGGGGCTTGAACTCATGGCTTGGTGCTATCCCTGAGTTCTTTTTTTTT